TCACAGCTGATTGAGATCTGGGGGTAGATTGGGCCCTTCGAGCCCCCAAAAAAGCAAAATAGACCCCTCCCCTTTTTTAGTAGCGCACCACAATGCATAGCACGTGCAGTAGGTGCGTCGAGGTGCCATATATACGAATAGTAACGCACGGCAACACACGGGTCTGGGTGCGCCCTGAGGGCCCAGGCAGGTCAGCTGATCCCTTGTGCTGGTGCACCTTAAAGGGGAGCTACACCCCAAAAACCTGAGGTTAGTTGTGGGCGGAGCTTCCGACCAGGCAAAAACCCGCCTTGTTGTTGTCAGTCAACATTTTATGTTTTAGCGCGCTGGAATTTTCCGACCGCGTTCCCGGAATTTTACAGTCCCCCCCTCGCCCCGTTCTTGACTTTTCCGTGACTTTTGGTAGTCTGGCTGAACTGGACGCCGGAGTGCGAGGAGCGCAGTTCTCCCCCGCCGCCGCGCCCCACTCTCCCCCTCGTCGGGGGGTGTGCTGTGACCTCCGACCTCTTCCTGCGGGCTCCCCCTCGGAGGTCGTCATGGCGATCGGAGGAATAACGAGCCGACCGAGTACAGGAACTCCGCCATTAGAGTGTCAGCTCCTCTGTACAGAGACCGGTGTGATCTCTGTACAGCGCTGCGGTATATGTAAGAGCTATATACGTGTATAATAATAGTGTATGACTGGGGGGGGGATGATAACCACCAATCAGATCGCTTCCCCTCCTTCTCCTTCCTGCTATCTGTTTATGAAGTGTCACCTGACACGCTGACCGGCACAGGCTGACTGCAATGGAGGGTGACGTTACCTCGGGTGTGCTGCAGGTGGCGCTGTTGCATTGCGTACATAGAACATAATGGATTACATTGTAAATGTCACCAACTTCCCCACCGACCCTGTAAATGATCGACCAGCATACAGGACAAGGGAAGTGGTACTGTGCAGAGTCCATACATAGGAACAGATACCGAGAATGACCCCCGGCATACAGGACCAGAGAAGTGGCACTGAGCAGAGTCCATACATACAGAATAAGAACAGATACCGAGAATGACACCCGGCATATAGGACAAGTGGAGTGGTACTGTGCAGAGTCTGTAGGTTGGGTGTTGCTGGTTAAAGTTTAATTTGGGTGGAGTCCTGTGTGTGGCGAGTCATTGTTCGGGGACACATTAGTAAATCATGTAATTATGGAGTCTCGCTGGTTGCGTCATGTGTCACTGTGACATCTGTGAAGCGTGAACCGGGATCTGGTGCCAGGTGGGTCTGGTGGTGCCGTGAGGATTGTTGGTGTCGGGTAGGTCTGCTGGTTCCCGGGTGGGTCTGGTGGTGCCGGGTGGATCGGTGGTTCCCAGGTGGGTCTGGAAG